AAGGTAAAGAAGAGGGTTTGCACTGCTGTATTTATCCCTGTCAGCTACTCTCATACAAAGGGAGTTGCCTGTGGACCACATGAGGAGCCTCAAAGGCTTCAGAACACACAATTACCCAGGAAATTTTAATGCTTTTTTAACAAATCTGTTTTTTTTTTCACTCCAAGAACTCCACGATGGGAATAACAGGCAGAACTGCACCAGTACATCCCAGTACATCCATTATCACCCTCAGCACAGCTCTGCCAGGCAAAGGGCTGTGTGAACTGCCTCCCAGAAATCCCCTTTTTATCCCAAACAGCCCATGTGTCCTTCACAGCCAAGTTAAAAGACACAAAAAGTCCCAACTGGAAAGTGGCACTGTTGGTGTCAGCAGCACTAAATACCTCCCCATACATCACCAGGAGCAGCAAATGCCACAGGAATGGGAAGCTGGGATGGATATTTCAGCTTCCCACAGACCTTCAGTGCTTGGAAACCCGGCCTGGAACGCAGCAAACCCGGAGCATCCGTCACCATAAAAGTCACAGGCACACCTGGTGAACTGCAAATCAGGTGTGGATTTACATCAAAGGGTGAATTCAATCAATGGAAGGGATTTGTTTCTCCGCCCTGCAGTTCATTATGGGGAAGGGTGGAGGTTCAGGAGGGATTTGGGGAATAAAAGTCCCCACTTCAGAGGAAATCTCCACGTCTGCCAGGATCTGGGCAATGCACCTCCACGGGAGAGGAGTTTCAGAGCCTCAAAAGCACTTCCTAATGAAAAAAAATCCAAGTTATCCAACAGAAGATGAGCCCTGTAACGCTCTGTGACCACTGACTGGTGACCCATCTGCTGTGGTGCTTCAGTTCCCCCCATTTTCTCCCCCCCAAGAAGGGCTGGCAGAGCTGGTGCTGGAGTTGTGTTGGGATGCACATGGAATCTCACACGCCCTCGTCTGAGAGACCACATTAATTTTGCCATTGTTCTACAGAATTGCACAAAGAATACCCTGTATAAGCAAATTAATTAGCTACTGCCTATTCATCCTCCTCAATAATCCAAGAGCCAGCTAATTGCTGAGTAAATTCTAACCACGCTGGGCTTCCCAAAGGAAGTGTTTTTAACCCAAGTGGAGCTGACTGAACTCGGGGCTTCGCTGAGGTCTGGAGCTTTTTTCAATGTAAAAAAGAAAACAGGCAAAAGGAAGAAAAAAACCAGCCAAAAAATACCTACAGCAGCAGCCAGCAAGAAAATTCATGAGGGAAGATCACGTTGAAGTGGATCTGGAAATTCCTATGGAATTCCTGCATGGAAATTCCTATAAAGTATTTGGCACTAAACATTTTCAGGCAAGTCACTGGACTCCTCCAAGAGCCTGCAACAACAGCTCTTCATTACAACACTTCTGAATGGTGTTAAAGAGGCCACAAAAGGGTGGGTGGGCAGGTGAGAATGATGAAAAACACACATTAATCACTGTTTACAGGTAAATTCCAAGGGTCGGGTTGCTCAGGAGGCTCTAAAATGCAGTTTATTGACCCCAGCGAGAGATGCTGGAACACAAACACCCCCTTCATGCTCCCAAATACTCCTGCTCTAATCTAAGGCCACGTGACACAACAAAAAAGACTATTAAAAAGTATAAATAGAAAACAGAAACGTTTTTTTCTGCTTCGTACAAATGGATCTGACCATCTGCTTCAGAGCAGCAGCAGCAGCAGCATCCAAACCCAGCTGAAACAGCAGCCTCTGGTGTTAACATTCTGCTCCTTCCTCAGACTCCACCAAACTGGCCAGCCACTTATAGAACAGACACATAGATATTCAGTGTGTGCCAAAACGTGACAACTTCTATATCCTGCACCCAGCTGTGCAATCCTGCTCTTCAGAGTGCCCAAATTTCCTGCATTTTTGAGAATTGCTGTTCCAAAACCTGAGTTTCCTACCTGTGGAAACAAACCCCGCCTCATACCACCCAGAGACAGAGCCTGGGTCACCGAGGAGAGCTGAGGAACAGGCTCTGTTTAGCAAATAAACCCACGAATAAAGCAAGTTTATTTTCCTGAGAAGTTACAAAGTCAAATAATGTAAATATTGACAGAGAAACCCGCAGGAGACACTGCAGGGGAGTGGGAGGCTGGCTCAAAGCGGAGCAGTGCCTTGTCATTTTAATAACTGCTTTGTCCTAACAAGACAAAAAATGCAACATTATCTGGATGGAGTGGTTTGAGCAGAGCCATGAGAGATTCCTGCAGCACCCCTGTCCCGCCCCAGTTTCTGTGAGCTCCTGTCTCAAACCCCCACCCTGCTGAGGCATTAATAAAACCCATGCTCAGAGACCAAATAAATCAAGGGACTGGCACCTGTGGCTGCCACATCTACAGAGATTCCCACAGTGAACTGTTGAACATCCTCAGGACCAACCAAACAGCCCCTCTGGCAGCAGAGACAGAGAACCTGGGACAGCCCAGGAGAGCAACAGGAATAACTCACATCCTTTTGGATGGAGGGCTGGGGACACAAGGACATCACTAAACACGAGATGAAAGGCACAGTCAGGACACAACTCGCACACTAGTCCTGTCTTCACTACTAGCCTTATTTCTGCATCCACAGAAGTTGCTATTTTTACCCAAAACAAGCCTTATTTCTCCAGAGCCTGGTTTGTCAAGTCGGTTCCGAGATGCAGAGTGTCGCTGTAAACATGCAGCTCTCTGAGCAGCACGTGATCAGTGCTTTTTATCTTAAAAAGCAATTAGAAAGGAAAAAAAAAACCAAACCAACAGCAGATTTCAGGCTAAAAAGGAGACCTTTGCTCCAGCAGCTCCCAGTCCATTGGGTGGCTTCACAGAGCATTTGATCATCAGACAACCCGAGGTGACCAAGCCATGCAGTAAGAGCCACACCGTGGGGAGAGGCAGATGCCTAAAAACAAGGCTTGCTCAGAGCAGGAGGCACTCAGGGCTCTGAACACCCAGGAACACCCAGCTCTGGGTTCGGCATCAGGGCACGGGGGGGACATTAATGCTCTTTATTCACATGTGTGCAACCCAAAATTGGTTTTGAGGCATCAACGAGATAATATAACATTAGCGAGGCTCTTCTCAAATTGCCACTGTGCCTGGGCAATTTTTCCTGGAAAACAAGAGCCCACAGCCATCCATGTATATTCATTCTGACAGATTTCAGATGCTGAGCGAAGGGTATCTACAATCATTTCATTTTTCTTTAATCCCCGTTCGGAACAGAAGCCTGGAACACAATATGTCTCAGAGGCAGCTTTTAGACAACTTCATAAACCAAAATCTCACAGCTCAAGGGTTGGAGCTGAGGTTTAACTGCTTCAGCCAAAGCTACAAGTAAACACCAGGCAGCAGCAGCACTGACAGCCCAGGGACACCAAACTGCTGGGAAAAACAAGTAAAATATCCCTGTTCTCCCCCAGAACGATGCCCAAAAGCAAATTCTGCCCCAGTGCACAACCTGAAAACGTCCTGCGTGGCAGGTTGTAATCAAACTGCTGAAGTTTGTCATTGAACAGCAGCAGAACATCATCCTGCTCTGTGGGGTGGAATTTCAGATGCCAGTCGGGCCCAATCCTGAGCACACTTCCCTCCCAGAGCAGGAGCTGCCCCAGCTCTTCCAGGTGTGGAACACAAAAGGCACCCAGCTCCTCACACCACTGATCTGAGCACACACACACATTCCTTTGCAGGTGCTTCATAATCAAAGCACAAAAAAAAAAAAAAAAAAAAGGAAATATTTCTCATTTTACTCTCATTATTTAGTAGTGCCCTGTAAACTGGAGAGGTGGTTTTTTTCACCACGTTTGGTTGGGTTTTTCTCCCCCAAAAGGCCACATTTTGTCCATCACAGAAAAGCCTCTCAGCTTTCCCTCTGCTGGACCAGTCAGCGGGTTGAGATCGTGGCAAGTGAGGTGGCCACGGAGGTTCCAGGACCTGTGGCGAGGTGTCACAAGCCACTGGCTACCTGTGGCTGATTCCCCCTGCAGAGACCGGAGCCAGTAAAGTCCATACAAAGGAAAATGGAAGCGCAGACACGACAGGCACGTAGAGAGAGCTCCAAGGAGGGGCTGGCGCGGGAACAGCGAGAGGAAGCTTTTAGAGGATCCACAAAGTCTGATTGCTCCATTGTGCAAAAATAAGGCGTTTGCAGCGAACGCACCGCTGCAGGCTCCGGACGCGGAAAGTGCCTCATCAGCGGCAGGTTCCGTCCTCCTAAACGTCCTCCCAAATACAGCGCCTGCTTTACCCGCCACTTCCATCGGCCGGGGAAGCGCAGCTCCAGCCGCCCGGGAGTGCGGGATGCCGGACCGCATCCTCCGGCTCTGCGCCCCGAAGGGATCGCTGCGCTCCAGCGATTTACCGGCGAAAAGTTATATAAAATAAACAGAACTGGACTCCGAGCGCCGCCAGTACCCGCCTTACGCGGACGCGAAAAACAGACCCCTGGCGAGCGCGCATCGACCCGAGGCACCTGCGCTGCTTCACAGGTGATGGAGAGGAGAGATCTCCTGCCAGGAGAGGCCACTGAACCTCCCACACCCCATCCCGGGACGGCCCAGCCTGTCCGCAGGACCCTGGCGAACACCTCACGGCATCCTTGTCCCAGGGACCCCCGCCCCGCAGGATGCCCGAGGATGCGGGGGGAGCACCGCACAGCGCGGGGCTCTCCCCGCCCCACCAGCCGCAGCCTGCGGCGGCTGATCCGCGCTCCGAGCGGCACCTGAACCACCGGCAGCACCGCCGGGGCCACCGCATCGCCGCCCACCCCGCACCCGCGGTCCGTCCCTGTCACCTCCCGCCCTGTCCCCGCCGCGCCGCGGGTTTCTCTCGGAGGGGTCCCCGCCTTTCCCCGCTCCATCCCCTCATCCCGGAGCCGCCGTCCTGCCCCGCTCCCCCGCCCCGGAGCAACCGGTGGGACCCCCCGCCTCAAACTTGCCGGTGCCCGCGGGGCTGCCCTGCCCTGGGGAGGGGATGAGGAGCCCCCCGCTCACCTCGCAGCGCGCTGGTCCAGCTGCACAGCCCCAGCAGCAGCAGCAGCAGCCGCGGGTCCAGGCGCGGGGCTCCTCCGCCCATGCTGTGCCCGCAGCGCCGGGGGATGGAGCCGGGATGCGGATCCGCCGAGCTCAGGATCGCAGGGAATTCGCCGCGGCTGCTGGTGGGGCGGTGGGTTTCGCCCCCTCTCCCCCCGGTCCCTCTCCTGCGTTCCGCGCTTTCTCGCCGCTCGGGTGCGGGGGATGCTGCGGGCTCCGCGCTCCTCTCCCCGCTCCGGCCGCCGCCGACTCCGGGCCCGCGGCGCGTTCCCGCATCACTAATGAGCCGCCCCTCCCCCCGCAGCCAATTAGGGGGCGCGCGGGGCGGGTCCTGCCGGCGGCGCGCGCACAGGTGGGCCAGGTTGGGGGGGACGAGACCCTCCCAAACGTACACACACACACACAGGTGAGCCGGGGGAGTCGCACAGGGGCGGCATCAGCGCTCCCAAAACCCGCCGGAGGGACCAGAGCCCCCCCTGTGCTGAGACCCCAGGGACCCCCTGCACTGACACCCCCTCACTGACCCCGGTGGCAGAACCCACCCGGGAGAGCCACAGGAACGAGCCCAAACTCTTCCTTCCCCATTCCCAGCAATCCCCCAGTAAACCCTCTGAACCACCCCCCCCAATGTGTGTTTGGGGGCACAACCTCCCCACCCGCCCTCACTGAGCTCCTCCAGCCTCCCCAAGTCCTTCCAGCCTCTCTCACCCTGTTAAAACCACACATTTGGTCACAAAGCCTTAAAAACTGTGAAGAGGAGCATGAGGAAGACCCCCCTCAACCTCCCCCCAAAGCACACCTGTTCTGGGTCGTTATTATTAATATTGCATCAGGCTGTGATCAAAAATTCTGTTTCTTGCCAGGAGTGTCACTGTTTCACTCTCCCTTCCCCCAGCTAATTGCATATAAATGTTTTTATTATGTACCTGATCAAGACACATATGGCCAAGCGAAGCATGAGGCCAAAAAAAAAAAAATCTCTCAATAAAAATAAAAATAAATAAAAATCTCTGCTCAGGTGCTCAGCTGCTGTTCTGCCCTGAACAGATTTGATCAATAAGGGGTTGGAAAGCAAAGGTACCACTTGGAGAAAAGGTGAGTTGCTAAAGGAGGAATTTTTGGTCCAGAAGAACGTGAGTTCTTCCAGACTCTGTCCTTCTATCCAGCCAAGGCACGAGATTTCAGGAAATCAACTCCATTTCCAGCGGGTGCCAAGACCAGAAGAGTCAGAGCACAGGGATTATTCCCATCCACACCTCACACTTGAGCAGCTGCACTGAGTTCCCTCTCTCCCAGCCTCCCAAACTCTGGAGTGTGTGCACATCTCAGGTTTAAGGGGACTGGGTTACTACAGGCAAAGTGTTTTGAAATGCCTGACTGATAAAGGCTGGAAAAATGCAGCAGGATTAGTCACATCTGCTTAAGAACAAGCCTTGTCAGTCGGTCCTCCTGCAGGCTGGCTTTGTACTGTCTTCAGGAGGAAACAAATAATTAAAGCAAAAGGAATTTGTAAACAGAATTTTAAGAGGGGGGAAAAAAAAAAAAGAATCAATATCTGAGCACATCACATCAGAAGATCCTTATTCCCTCGCCCTCCTCTGTTTGCCAGCCTTCAGCTCCCGACGAGGAGCAGGGCTGCAAAGGCAGGGAGCAAATATATGAAAAATGCATTTTCTTCAGCGGCCTTTTAGGTCACTCTGCCCATCCAATGCTTCCAAAGAAAATAAAAATAATAACAAAAAAAAAAAACCAAAAAAACAAACAAAAAACCCAAACACAACACAAAACCCCACAAACAAACAAAAACCACACAAACAGAACCAAAAACCAAACAAACCAAAAAACCCATCGAGGACCAGAAGTGGGAAGCTGAGCAGGGAAGTTTTACCCTGTCAGAGCATCCTGCCCCCTCCCTCCAAGGCCTGCCCACGTCAGCAGCACAGCCCTGTTTCCTGGGACACAAACAGCCACTTCTGCTTCAAGCCCCGCTAATTGCGGATTTTTGCCTACGCCACCGAGTCCCTGTTTGGTGCTCTGGATAAAAATACCGAGTTCCCAGTTTGTAATGCAGTTCTGATGGGGAAGGAGAGAGCAAAAGTAGAAAATAAGGGCAGCAGCTGTAACTTCAATCAGCGCCCTTGGAAATAAAAAGGAGCAGAATATTGCACAGAGAGAAAAAAATCTCAGGGTGAGGCAAGTGCCAGCAGCTTCTGAGGTGGTGAAACACAGCTGAAGTTACGAGTTCCTCAAGCACTGTTCCCACTGATAAATATAGAAATAAAGAAATAAAGCTCCAGAAGTGCCACAGCAGCTCAAGGCACTGCTGTGTTTCCATGAATGGAGGCTCAGTCCACAGCCCACACCTGGGATTCTCCTTTTCCTAGAAGCCCCAAGCCTGAAGTTTGATGCAGCTGCATCAAAACCCCCCTAAACGGGGCTGGAAAAGGAGAAAGGCCCAAGCAAAGCGACTCTTCTTGAATGCCTTGACACAGCAGCCACACACATCGTGAAGAGACATCCCTGGGAGGGCCAGAGAGAACCTGCAGCCCAAAATCTCCCCTCCAGGGCTGGGCTCTGCCACCACCTCCCTCCACAGGTACTTCTGAGCACCTTTTTCCCCCACATCTCAGGTTCCACCTGCAGCCTCTCAGCTGGTTGCCAGAGAGATTTGTGCAGCCTTCAGCTGACTGACACACAGCCCTTCACAGCTGCAAAGGAAACCTTTCCAGCCAGAATATGCCAACACCCCAATAACTCTCAATAACCCACACAGCTACAGGCTGAAACGGGGGGGGAATAAAAAATAAATCACCTCCTCCATCCTGGAAGCTCAGCAGAACGTTCCAGCTGAGTTTGCAAAGGTGCTCTCAGCCTCTGTCTCTCCTCCAGTGCAACATAAAACTCTGCAGCCAGGTGATTACACTTGGGTTGTTATTTGATGTGTGACCTTGGAGTGACCCAGCTGTGCCTCGCAGTGAATCAGAATTCACATCCCCTGGGTGTCAGGTAAGAGGATGGGGAGGTCACTGCTGACATGCTCTCAGGAGCACACGACAGGCAGCGGCTTCATTTCCCAGCTCTGGAGAGTAAAAACCTACCTGAGGTGGCCCTGGGATCTTCCAGAGCCCCTGGGGGTGCTGAGCAGACCTTCCAAAAATGGGAGGATCAGTGCAAGCAAAGCACTGGTGTTCCTCCCAGGGAGCAGCAGGCACCACTGGGCTCTGGTGCAAATGTTCACACCTGTACAGCAGGTGAACAATGTCGTGACCCAGACCAACCAGCAGAGCCATTCCCACCTAGGGACCCTGCAGAGGTGAAGGAGGAGCGTTGACTGGCACAAGACATCATGAATATGCAGAAACAGCTGAAATCCAGCCTGTTCTTCCTTTGCCCTCAGGTTTCTGGCAGTGCACAGCTGCCTCTGTCACCCCCCAGGGCTCTCCCTGAACAGAACAGAGCTGCATGTTGCTGAGGTGCATCCCAATATCCCAGTTTCCTCCTGATCCACAGTGTAATCTTCACCTTCTTACCTTCATTTAGATCTTGCCTTCCTCTACACTTCAGTAACTAGAAGTGAGTGTTGCCCTCAAGTTTTGTGTTATTTTGTTTCCATATGAACGACAACAACAAAAAAAAATATACAAACCTTTTTTATTTCAAAGGATAAACTTCAGCCTCCTCAGAGATGGGGAAAAAAACCCGGCCTTGAAAAAGCCCAGGGTGTTTCTTCAAGCAATTCCAGCCCACTTGCTTTAAAGTGAAGTCACCACTGGAGCTGTCATAAGCCATCATCTCTGATGGGTTAAAAATCTATATGGTCTTTAAATTGATTAATCTGAGATGAAATACAATACAACTATTTGCATTTCCCTGTGTTTACTCATTCCAAAAAAAAATTGACAGGCAGCGCAGAGAAAAGTTAATCTGATAGAAAGTAAAATGCTGTGCATCAGAATGGGAAAAATGTGCATTAACATGCCAAGGGGGCCATGAACATCTGAACTGCACTAATCGATTTTGGGAATCATAAGACCCAGGCATTTAGAAAATGTCATAATCTTAATACCTAATTCGCTCTTTTGATTTGCAATTCGGGGGAAATCAGCTGCACTTGAAATTTTCACCTGCAGCGTTTTCTCCAGCTGGGCAAAGAGGAATTCCGGCTTCAGCAGCAGTTATTATTTTATATCCATGCCCTTTTAGGTTTCTCCACCTCAATTGATGCTCTGACCCCGCCTACATCCCCGTGTCACAGCTCCAGGGCTCCGTGTGGTGGCTGCAGCCGCATGATGGGAAAAGGGCAGTGGTTCCATGTGCTCCAGGCTCTGTGAGCAGGTGGCCCTCGCTGCTCCGGGCTGGGGACAAGCTGGGGATGGGGCACAGCTTGCACTCCACGGTCTGGGAGGGCTTTTCCAGCCTCAGTGATCCTGGGATTCTGCAGGAGGTGAATGATGCTGAACCAGGAACCAGCAATTCGAGCTGCAAAGCTGTTTGGCCCCTCAGGGACACTCCAGATGTGCCCACTGTCCCGGGCTAATCCCGCTCAGTTCCTGCTCCCTCCCTGCCACCCACCCCGCAGCGGGGCAGGGGAGATGGCAGGTTGTTGTTACCCTCATTAAATACGATTTTGTCAGCGCTGCAAACACGCAGGTGTCACATTATTAAGTCACCTCCCCGCGCCTCTCAAACGGCCACCCAATAATGAACTTTCCAGGAACAAGAGGAACGGGGGGGAAGTGAACTCTTTGCTCCATTATTTTCAGTTTAATCTGCGGCGCGGGCACAGAGGGCACCCACCCAGCAACCACGGCCCTGAATTATTCATAATTAGTGCCACTCCACGAAATGCAGCTGTTCCACGACCTCAGGTGTGAAACACAACAAGGAGCTGAGCAGTTCTTTATGTACTAAGACATCACTTCAGGTGCAAGCCAGAGGAACCAGAGGAGCCCATTTGGGTGCAAGTGACGCTTCTTTTTTTCTCACAGGTATCAGTCACCTCCCAGAGAGGCAGCTTTGCTGTTCTCCCCTCTCAGTGTGATGAGAAGAAGGCAAAGAACCCGATTATTGAGCAGACTGGCAGCAGTTCTGGCTCTGTGCAGCAGAGGGAGGCAGCCAGCACAGCATCGAGTCAGGCACCGAGGACTTAATTATGTTCTCAAACAAAATACAATGAACTCTGTCATAAGTAATCACACAAGAGGCCGCCGAGTTGGTAGCTCGGTGCAAGTGGCCTTCAGTGAGAGGTG